TATAAACGAACGGATGCAAGCAGAAGACTGCCACTCCAAGAGCACTGATGATGTCACCTCGGCTGGTGATGAAACGTTTGCAAACAAATTGCCAAGCTCGGCGAACAGTCGAAATGGATCAAATAAGCTCTCTTACGGGAACTTCTCCATCTGAGCTCTTTTCGGACTTTCTGTGGGTGGTCCCATGACGAGGTACCTGGATGGACTTTCACAAGGACTATCTAGACTAGTCATCGTCAGGTGTCTATTGAACTGCTAGGTGAAGTGCTCTGCCCATCGTCATGAGTACTGTATATTAGCATGTTCACTTCGCAAATTGTTTCACCAGTGTACTGTTTTTGTGCTATTCGCATAGATTACTTGTAATAGACAGTTTTTTCAGACCATCCTCTCTTCACGTAGCACCGCTTGCCTCCCCAATTATATCGTTAACCTTCTGTGAGTTCGCGCTTCAAAGTGAGGCACTGTTTCATTAAACCCACTGTCCCCCTGAGTGGCCTGAAGCTTGTGAAAAAAATTAGAATCAGTCAGTGGAAACCGGGTCTCTCAAAACTTGTTGACTTAAAAAATGTCTTTTTACTTCCTTTTTTATTTATCGAATATACAAATGTACAGTCAACATTCAGGAATGGGGGCTGCGGCCATATATAAAGGCTGCCTGGAGAGACATGAACCCCGAAGTTTTTTACTTATGGTCGACTCGCAACCGGGCTCCAAGCCATTCCAATAAAGCAGCCATATTGCTGGTGGTCACGGCAATTCCGTCCCCTGCTTAACCGGGCACTGATGCGTTAGAGCACTCGGAAAGACTCAGGCGAAATGTTTATTTAGGGTTGTAGGGAATCGTTGATCGAATTACAGCACCAACACTATCTGTCATTCTTAATTGAACTCAACTAATGGCAAATTCCTTAAACAAACCTTTGCCCATTGTCTGAAAGTGATTTGAGCATTATACATGTAGATCCATCTAATTTTCTTCACCCGAATCCAATCAACGTTGCCCCCGTGGGATCGTTAAGTAACCTTTTGGAGTTTACTTCCGTTTCAGATTCTACTCAGCCAAAGTCATCGTATTCGAGCCATGCAGCTACTCAGCGAATTTCTAGACCTGGGTCCTTGGGCTGTGACACATTGCTTGACGGTCGGCATTCTCCCCTACATTGTGCGGCTGTTTCACTCACCCGTGGCCGAAGTCAAACCACATTTGGTCTTCATCTGGGGCAAAATAATCGCCACTGCTCAGGTCCGTCCGAGGCCCCGTTTACCTCTTTTCCTTTGATTTCTGTTCAGTATTTTATCCCCGATTCGCCTTAGCATCGTTATTCTCAGTTTACTCCTAGTCGCGGATCACTATACTGCGCATTTCCAATCAATCATATGATATGTATTGTCCGATAATTGATGCGCTTTTTATGTTCTGTTTTCAGACAGAATTTGGTCGGAACGATTCGGTGCGCGATTTCGGATATAAATATTTCATCACTTGCCTGAGTGATACAGAAAATCTGGTGGTACGTCGTCGGTTCGATTATGTTGATATGAGCTATTCGTGTGTGATATAACATAACGTAGCAACCTACCTCATGGCTACTAACCTACTTCTTCGACTTGCGCTAATCTAAGCAAACATCACTTGTCATAAACCTTCAACTGACTGACATCTTCCACACTTAAGTTCAAGGTTTCGCAGTCGTTAAACAGGAACGATCCCACCGCGATCCTTCAGCTTCAGTGCATCAAAACATTTCATGACTTTTCCTGAATTGACATGCCACTTGTGGTTGGGTCAAAACCCAAAATGCTCATTCCGTGGTGAGGAGAACTGAGTTCGAAACGTGTACTGCATTTTGCGCGTCGTAATTCTTATGATGCATGTTTTGTCTCAGTTAAGTAGGTAATTAATCACAATTGACCCTTTCAATACAGAATAATAATTCGTTGGCTAGTGAGTAATCGGAAGCGTAACTTCACATCCACTTTTTCAAGGAATACGCAA